ATTTCAAAGATCTTGCTCTCTATTTGTTCCCTTTTGACAGATTGTAACCCTGTGGATCCCCTGGTTGGTAGCATAGCCACTCAGTATTTGACCAACAGTGCAGAGCATGGCAGGATAGCCAGACAGTGGACCAAGAGATATGCAACATAATTTCACATGATGTGTATGCAGAGTGAAGGAGCAGAAGGCTTCTTCCCGCTGTGCTGTGGATCATTATAGCCTTTAAAATACCGACTTCTGTGTGTATGTTTTACTGATTCTATGCCTGCCTTTATCCTCTGAAGACCGGGAGACTCCCCCAAAAGGCAAATGCTACCGAGAATAGAACTTTGTATGTGTACATTAGTTATGTTTCCAATGCCTACTTGCAAGTCTTGTTTCTTTCGGATATCAAAATGCATTTTGTGATGTACTAAGGTCCTGAAATCTATGAAATATTATAGCACATCTTAGCATAATTCATTATCTGTATAAAGTTATAAAAGTAGCTGTAGCTGACTAGGAATTATGTCATGTGTATGAAGCCCAGATCCATTTCTCAGTATGTGGTTCATGCTGTTGTAAAAATGTTTTACCTTTGTCAGTTTGTAATGAGAGCATTCCCTTCTACCTTTTGTAGCTCAGAGAGCACTGATGTATCATCTCAGACACAATAAACAAGCTCCTGAAGGCAAAAATTGCTTGTGCTTCTCAAGCCTTAATGGTACTGGTACTACCTGTACATCTTTTGATAGGTTTCTGACAGTGTGGATTTTGGACTGGAGCCTTGGAATCTGTATTTCTAAAGGACCTTAGAGGATGGCAAGACTTCTAGTCTGTGGACCACACATCGAGGAGCAGTTCCTGAGATCTCGGATGATTCAAGCGACCCTTTGACAGCGACCATGGATATCAAACCTGAAGACTCTGACGACTGTTTTAGATTCAGCTATGGTTCTTGTTTGGTCTGACAAGGTTTAGACTGGTAGGCAGCAAAGTTGGTATGTTTACAGGCAGGGCACTTTATTTTATAAGTGTTGCTGTGTACAGGGTGTCTCTCCACAGCAACAGAGGAGTGACTAAGACAGAAGTTGGTCCCAGGGAGAAAAATATTGCTCTGAAAAGTCTAACCATGCTACTTGTTGGGAAAATATGGACTTTGGTTTGGGAAAGCAGTCTGAACACATTAAGTGGAGCTCAATGGGCCATCCCAGTAGAATTGAGGGAGAGAGTATTGAGAGAGATTTAATTGTGGGGATCCAGCTCAAGAGGTTTCAGGTGAGAAACTTAAGTAAATGGCCAAGAGATCATTGTGATATTTTGGCGAACAATGTGGTTGCTTTCTGCTCTTGCTCTTGTTCTGTCCTGTCCAGCAGGACATTAAATAGGGGTCTGGGGAGGTCACTTGAAAGAGAGCGGGGCAGCAGGCATAGACACAAGGAAGTCATGACCTGTCTATAATCTGATCATATCGCAATTTTTAGTTTTGCACACACAGGTTATATACACAAAAAGGCAGGATGTGGGGAAGGGGATGACGCAGGAGAGTAGGTTTTCAGGGGGAGTACAGTTATCTTCCAGAACAGAGTATCAGCTGAGTGAAGGTTCAGGAGGCAGATCACTATGACTCCGCCTATGATTCACTTGTCTTTATCTAAGTTGGTACTATCCACCAAGATTACCCACCTACAAGGCCTTATGACTAGGCTTGGCAGCCTTTCACCAAAGCTGTCTGTTTACAATAGCTTCCAGGTATCTGTTTCAGTGTTTTCCACAGAGACCCAAGACTTGGTGCAAGCAGGCATGTATGTCAGGCCTATTACTGATTTTAGGCCTATGGCCGATTTTAGGCCTTCAGTGTATAAGCAGGACTGCTCCTGACATTGTTCAAAAAAAATCTCCCTGAGGATACACTGAAGATTTTAGGATTAATGGCATTAGAAGAGGGAATTTCAAAACAGCCTAGTATTAACTCTGTCATTTGGTTATTAGTGTTCACTCTTACTCAGATCTATAACGAAAAGGAGTAAGCTGAACAAGGGAAAATACAAAATGTTCAGTGTGAGTAGGAAAGGAACACCAGGAAGTGTAATGGAGCTAAATGTGGTGGCCAAGGAGATAAAAGTTTATTCCATTTCCTTTTTTCTTTTTTTGACAGATGAGTCTTTTAATAGAAAAACAAAACAACTCCCCCCCTCAAAAAAAATCAAAAGCCACACGAGCAACGGTAGCAACACACATTTCTTCACTCCAGCCAGCTCTGAGTTTCAATTCTTCGCCTTGGGAGGGGGGCCTGTACACACCTACGACCACAGCGTGGTCTCGCTCATAAGGCTCCAGTGTCAGCTGCTCCTGGGGCTTCATGTTCTCCTGCTGCATCTTCTTGACTTCGGATGCAAACACAGCTTCTGCTGAGGCTGTGGAGTCAATTGCAGTTGGCCTTAATGGAAATCACAAAGTGTCCTCCATTCCGCAGGAAGGTGTGGGCATTCAGGGCCACAATCCGGATTTGGTCTGGCTGGGCCACATCGGCAAAGATGACAACCACCATTGCACTAAGCATGCGGTATGTGTGTGGGTGCCGAGCGTCTTCAATTACAGGAATGATGTTGGTCCTCTCCTCGGCTAAGTTGATGAGGTCACGTCCAGAGCGGTGGGAGAACTCAACTGCGTAGACCAGACCATCCGGGCCGACAATATCAGAGACGTGGGAGACAGTGGTGCCCGAGGCTGCCCCAAGGTAGAGCACCTTGGCCCCAGGCTTGATGTGGATCTGGTCTACACCGCCCAGGATTGCTGCTGCCAGCTTGGAGCGGAAGGGGTTCCAGGCTCGGTACTCAATTTTGTCATCTCCTTCTGAAATAGAGACTCTCTTTTCTCCGTACACAGATTCTCCAGGGACCGGGTTCTTTGTGACAAGGGCATCCTCTTTTCTGCGCCAGATAAAGACACCTTTGTGTCGATGCTGCTCCACCATCACATCTTCCCTGACTGGTTTCCTCTCTTGCCTCCCCGGCCACCACCACCTCGACCCCGTCCACCCACAGACTGGAAGCCTCCACCTCAGCCACCTCCACCTCCTCGTCCCCTGAAGCCACCACCTCCTCCACCTCGACCTCGACCTCCACTGCCAAAGCCTCCTCGGCCTCCTCGGCCTCCTCCTCTACCTCCTCTGTCACCAAAGCCACCTCTGCCACCAAAGGCGCCCCCACGGGGGCTGAAACCTGGCTTCATCCCTGCATTCTGGTGGCGCCACTCCAGCAACCTGCTGCGTCCCCGGATCCACGAGTCTCAGGCTTTCCTTATTCCATTTCCTGATGCTAAATGGAATAAAGTTAGCCGTGACCTCAGAGCAAGACCTTATGCAGGTAAGATGCAACTTGTACAGAGGAGTTAAAGAAAAGTTTAGGGCAACGTGCGGTGATATATGGCCTTAATAACAGCACTTGGGAGGCAGAGGCAGGTGAATCCCTGAGTTGAAACCAACCTGGTTTACAGAATGAGTTCTAGGATGGCCCAGCTTAGGCAGTAAAAAACAGAAAGATTGTGAAACTGTATTTTAATGAGGAGACCATGTTCCAGCACCAGCATGCACAAACCTTGGCGGTATAGGCAATATGATTCTGACTTCAGAGACAAGGATTCCAAAAAGAGGATTGTGGAATCACCCACGGGACGACCAACAGAGACAACAAACCTGGACCCTTGTGCTCTCAGAGACTGAACCCACCAACAAAAGAACCTACAGGGGTTTGACCTAGGCCTTCACGCAAGTATGGGCAGATGTGAAGCTTGTTCTTTATGTGGGTCACAAATAACTGGAACTGGGGACATCCCAAAAGTTATTGCCTATGTGCAAGTTATGTTGGTCTAGCTGGGCTGACTTGTCTGGCCTCAGTGAGAGAGGATGGGCCTAACCTCCCAGAACTTGAAGTGCTAGGTGCAAGGATACACAGGAGGGAACCCCACCTGTGCCAAGGAGAATGGGATGGGGAATAGGGGAGAGGATTGTGAGAGGGTGTGGCTGGAAGGGAAAATGGGTAGATATCAAATAAACAAGAAAAACATTAAATAAAAAGTTTGATTTTATCGCAGTGGCAGTAGAAAGAATATTAAAGTCACTGAATTGCGGTGAATAACTATATTACACACAGAAAGGCATCAGGCCATCTGTTTCCTTAGCTACCATCCATAGTAAAGAAAAAACACTTTCACCTTTATTATTGAAAAGCTATTTTAAAATCCTATAGAGATGTGGGGGTTGCCTGGTTTACTGAAGGCACCTTTCCATCTCACCCTTGACCCTGTAATCAAAGGGTCAGGTGAACACTAGTTGAGGTGATTGATACATGCTGTCTTTCAAATAAAGCTTTATGATATTAAAAAGAAAGCAAACAGCGAATGCTGAGAGAAAGAACACTGCGGAGATATTCAGAGAAACTATTTTATAAAGTATCCAACGCGTGTAGTGCAAAACATTGCCGTTTATTAATAGAGTGCTCTAAAAACCACTGTGTAGGTCAGTCAGTGCCCAGTATGCTTCAACGCTTTGTAAATCAACACTTGTGACCGGCCCCCTCCGATAGGCGCTGAAATGATGTCATTGGTGTGCACCAACACTCATATCGCTTGCTGCCCTGCCTTCGTTCATAATGCCCGGGGCTGAAACAGTATCATTTTTACCGGCCAACTTTCATTTCTGTTGATGCCCCGCCCTCTCCCATAAGCCCTGGGGCTGTAATGATGTCATGACTGGGCGTCAGCACTTAATTCGGAGGATGTCTCGCCCCTCCCTTATGGGGCTGAAACAGTGTCATAATTGGGAGCCAGCATTTATTTCCATTAGTGTCCCGCCCTCCCATAAGCGCTGGGCCTGAAACAATCTCATGATTGGCTGTCAACGCTCATGTCCGTTGATGTCCCGCTCCTCCCATAAGCCCTGAGGCTGAAGCAATGTCATGATTGGGTGTCAGCACTCATTTCCATTGATTCCCCGCCTCTTCC